AAAATTTTGTACATAAAAATATATAGGTGAATTTATCCATTTGCCAACAATTACACTATATATAAAATAAATGGCTTTAGGGTAATGCCCTATCCTTCAACCTATCGAGGGACCACTTGAATGATTTTATACAATGAGACCAACTAGTTGTGAGGTGGCTGATATTTATCCTTGCCCACATTAATTTTGTATTACTTTGTAAATATAAGCCATATTTTAAAAGAAAAAATTGCATCTTTATATTACATCAATGCGTGATCATTCCTCAGGATGGATATATATACGGTAATAAAGGGAAAAATAATGAAATTACAGATATTGCCATTAATGAAATTTTGAATATTATAAAATAGCTTAGTCATACTCAATTAGAAAATTATATTTTATTAGTTGATTGGATATAATTTATAAATAAAAAATTTTCAAATAAATACACGATATTAAGCATTTCAAACTTTTAAGTTTTTATCTTTATTTAAAATTCTTTTAAAATAAATTACATCAGACCATTTGAACATTTTTATATATTATTTTTTATTTAATTCTATTTTAAATATTTTATTTAAGATAGAAATAAAAAAATAAAAAAATCTTTATATTTGTATAATTTGGTTAGATATATTTTTAAAGAAATGAATAAAGAAAAGATAGGACGGTGGCCATACAAGTTAAGGTATATTATATGTTTCATGAACTGAATTAGAAAAAAGAATGTATTAGAAAAAATAATTATTTTGGATCTTTGTGAGAGACCCGTAAGAGGCAATACATATATTTGAAACAAAGTCAAACTCAAAATAAATAAATAAATGGAATAAACTACATTTTCAGTTTGAAACTTTATAAAAAAATACATATATATACTATTGTAACGGAATAAATATTATATTGCTTAGATTTTTTCTTTTTAGAAATCTAGTTTTTAAATTTTTTAAAAAATATTAGTATATATAAATGTGGAAAAATGGGAATAATGAAATTTTCTATACTAACCTTAGTTTAATTTAAAATTTCTAAATATATCATTTTAGTTAGATTTTTAATGCATTCTAATTGGAGAAAAATAAGTCCATTTATTTTTTTGAAAATCGTGTTATTTATATTTTTTTATGCCTTTTAGGTCGAGAAATATATTCCATTTATCATTTTGAATATCCTTTTAATTATATTTTTTATGCATTTTAATTCGAAAAATATATATAATTATTCTCTATTTGATCTTGCAGCATTATTGTCCAATGATTTTTATATTTCATTCGTCTCAAAATGATTTTTAGTTAAGTCTTACTAACATTTGCGGGGACAGTCTGTGTGCATATATATATATATATATATATATATTTGTAAATATATATATATATATATTTGTAATCTCAGTTGTAGGAAATCTATTTCCATCACCACAATGTCATTGAACAAGTAGTAAATAAGTAAAATGAATAAAAAAAAACTGTATTTTTGTATTTTATCAATGTGTTTGTTCATTTCTCTAGATGCTTTTATTAGTTGTGTGTAAAAACATAATTTAAGATTCAAATCTCTAAATATGACTCTTAAGTGCAAAAATTTTGTCTACTTTAAGTAATTGCATAAAATTTGGTTGCCTTAAATCATGACTTCACAAATTGATTTCATCAATGAGGTGAAACAAAAAAAGATACAGTGAAATCTGAAAATGTGTTTGTGGCAGGTTCCAGAATGCGATAACCCAAGCAGTCATTCTCTCTTGAGATAGTGCTACAGACGAAATGGTTTTTAACTAAATCTCTTTTAATATTTTACATGTTATCTTTTGATATTTTACAAGAGTATTTAATATTATATTTGAATTGAATGGAATTTGAATACTATAATTCAATGATATTTATGCAGTTAAAAAAAGTAATTTATGTGTAGGACCATTTAATTACCGAAGGGTTAATCATTATGTGGGAAATTATTCTATATATTTTTATTTCATGAGTTGTACGATTGATTTTAAAGCTTTTTTTCAACCGAGTTTGGTTCATTGTGATTCATGCCATATTTTAAAGCTTTTTTTCAACACAATGTAGATGATTTTGCTATAACAATTTATTATAGTTATAAACCTGTCATATACCATACTGCCCAACACAGTTATCAACTATGTTAACAAAAATGTTAGTTGTCAACCCAGTCTTTCCATTGATATCTTTTTTAATAGCAATGTATTAACTCTGTGATATGTGTTTGTATATTTTTATAACATTTTGGATATTAAGTATTATTGTTTGATGCAGGTCATACCATATATGGTTTTTCCGATTGCATATCTTAGTGAACTATTATTTTATTATACAATTTTATTAGTTTTGAATGATATTATAAAAAATTATTTCATCATTTAATATTACTCTGTGCATCACGCGGGTTTTAATACTAGTTTACTATAATATCATGCAAGAAATCATGCTAATATCAAGGTTAATTGCATTATTTCTTGATTAATAAATGAAAAAAGGAAATCAATTCTTACATAATTTTATTAACTCTCTTGAAGAAATTTTTTTATTAAATTAGAATAAAATTAATGATCCTAATAATATTTTTAAGTTTGCTCAATTTTTTATGCCTGTCATTTAGCTTTTTATTTTCTATTTGATAAATTGGTCAATTCACCTAATTCCCTAATCTTTTAGAAACCTTTCTTTTCTTTCCCATCACTTTTTTAACTTTTCATGATTCAACCTTATCATTTTGTTCTAGTCTCCCAAAAAAATAAAATAAAAAGAAATTTGGAAAGTTATCAAAATGATTTATAATTGACATGGGATGCCATAAATTAGACATGCAAGTTGATATCTGTTGAGTTTAAGGTACCGTACGATTGAGACTTGAATATGTGTGGAGTCCTGACACATATTGTCATGATGATGTGGCAAATACACAGAGAGGAGGCATGAAACTAATGCAAAGGATCAGCAAATTCAGAAAAGTCCAACTACTGTGGGCCCTTTATGTTCTTTCCTTGAAAATTACAAGATCAAACTCCCATGCCCTATCATACATATTCTCGACTTTGAACTGAAAGTCCTTCAAAGATTAACGGATCTCAACTGAAAGTCAAGAGAAAGGTCCAAACAAGAGATATCCCAAACGCATGACTTATTCTTTCATTTTATTTTTATTTTTTTTATGGTGTGTAGTTTTCAAAGTTGTTGTAAATCAAGAGGGATTGCAAGTTGTGCTGGATAAATTTATCTCATACTTTTGATATTGGGTAGTGAAAGGGGCATTTGGTAGGTCATTTATCAAAAAATTGAGTACATATGGTTTTTTTTTTTTTTTTTTTTTTTTTTTTTTTTTTTGACATAAGAATTTCATGTAATTAGGCTAGGTTTTTTTTTTTTTTTTTTTTTTTTTGATAAGAATTTTCATTGTAATTAGGGTTGCGGACTGTTTTTAAGAACTCGAATCAAATTGAACATTATATTAAATTAATTCAAAATCAAAACTATAAAACTAAATTCAATTTACTATTTCAGTTTCATTTATGATTCTTACGAAGAACTAAGTTGTAATCATGCCAAATCATAATGAACCAAAAATCAATTTGTAAATACATATTTTTAGATATATTATATAGTTTGCAACAACCTTCATATTTTATTACTCTTTTTTTAAAAAAAAATTTGCTATTGTTTACTAAAAAAGATATCATGTAAGTTGAAACTACTTATAACTGTGAGATCCTGACCTGAGCACCAAGTCTAATCCTCTAAAAATGAAACCAGAATGCTCATTTGGATAAGGTTCACGAATGAGTTTTCTAGAGTCACCACTTAAATTCCATTTTGAGATAAACTTAAGAAAAACATTTATTTGACTCCAATTACTAATCATCAATGAAACCAAGGAGGATTTTGGAACTAGATTTTCAATTTCAATGTTCAGTTTAATTGGCTTTAATTAGTGTCCAATCTAAATGAAAAAGAATTTGAGATGAAGGATGATATTTATAGGAAAGCAGTAAAATAAAGCGATAAATGAAGTATTAAATAAAGCAATAAAAGAAAGTAATAAAGTAAATTGTAAAAAACAAGGGAGTATTGCCTCTAGCCCCTTGATAGAGATTCTAAGGAAATCACTCGTCTCCCCATCTAAAGCATAAAGGAAGAAGGAGAAGAAAAAAAAAGAGGTTTTGAGGGGATTTGTTCCGCAACTAGATTGTAACGTCTCAATTTTTCGGTCCTAAATTAAGTCATTACTAAGTCAATTTTGGTACAGCCTGAGAAGGTTTGGCATTCTAAATTAATCTAGTGGTGAAATAATTCATAAATTTATGTTAATTAAATGTGTTTTGAAATTTAAGTGTTGCATAATGATTTAATTTAATTAAGTCATGAAATATGCCATGTTGAAATTTTTAGTCTAGAAAATAAGTTATAGCGAATTAATTGATAAAAATATTATTTTTGCTCACATAGATTATTTAGAATGTCATAAATTATTTTATTAAATTTAAATTATGTGTAGAGAATTAATTATGTAATGATATGTATAAATATAGGGATTTAATAATATGTATTTGGATTTACTATAGTGTCAATTTTTAGCCTTAGGATGAGAGGAACCTAAAGTAATCTTAGCCCTCCATTTATAAGACTTCTGACAAAGTCAACCTTGCCTAGCAAATTACCACAGTACCATTAGTGAAACAATATGAGCTTTTGGATGAGATTATAAGATCTAATCTCCACGATCTATTTGGAAAAAAGACCAAAGTGCCAAAATTTTATCTAAAACCTAAACAATCAAAATGCTACAAATTCATCTTCTCCACCAAAATCTTAGCCATCCAAACTAAGCTCTCTCTCTCTCTCTCTCTCTCTCTCTGCTAGGGTGTAAGCATTCGCCAATTTTTTTCACCGAATTTTTTTTTATTTAATTGAACTAAACTAATTGTTTAACCGAATCATTTTGACCGAACTGATATTGAATTGTTAACTGCACCGAAGTTCAAGAAAATGGAGAACTAATTAACCAACCAAACTTAACTGAACTTCTATGATTAACCGAAATAAATGTTCACCGAAATTATAGTCATTACACATATTTTCATGATAAACAATCATTAAAAAGGTCTTCAAAAATAAAAAAACAAAAAATATATTAAGCTTCAACAACAATAATCTCAAAATATTCCACTAGAAAAACACTCAATCAAACAAAGGCAATTCTAATGTTTGTTCTCCATAAATAAAAATCAGCTCTATTTGTTCTCCATCAATAAAAGGCAGTTCTAGAAGACCATCTTCAGCATCTTCTGGGGTCTACTCTTCATCAATCCTACAAAATAATAAGCTTCTTTAATGGAACATAAGCTTTTCCAATAAAAGCTTTTCCAATAAAAGATAAGAGAAAAACTTGATTTTACTTTTACAAATAGATCAAAAACAAAAGTGGTAGTAAGCTAAAATGCGTTTTCTGATATTTGACCATGCAAAAAAAAAGTTGAAATTTCGGCGTAAGAGAAACTCTTAATTCTCACGTTATTTGCCATAATTATTTAACCAGTCCCTGATTTTTATATAAATATTTAAACGTCCTTGAGGTTTGTCTCCGTCTTATTAATAGTCATTCCATTCATTTTCTTATGCCTTTATTATTAAAATTAAATAAAAATCAAGAAAGAAGTGGAAGGGATATTTTTAAATGCCATTGATTACCTTAATGAAGTTCTAAGACAACCAAAACTTGAAAAAAATAATAAATAAAAGAAAAATTCACTACACAAGAAGCTTGAAGCCATCCAAACAAAAGTTGAAATTTCGGCATAAGAGAAACTCTTAATTCTCACGATAACTCTCACTCCCTTGTCATCTTTTTGAAATGGGTTTCTCTCACAAGCTGTACACAATAAACCATCAAATTGGACTACAAGCAGTAAACTTTACAAATTCTAAATCAATTGAACATATTTGAAAAATCAAACCCATTTCCTCTCTTGCCTCTTTCAAAAAGATTCATAATCTTAACTCCATAAGTCAACTGAAGAACAGACCCACACCCATTAATAAATACACAAACCATCAACAACTTGTCTTACCTTATCATTATCCTTCTTTAAATACTCGAATCCTCTCTCTTTATCCTTAATAAAAATGGCGCTCCGATTATTATCAACAAGCAGGATCTTGTTTTTACTCCATCAACGTTATTAGTTATAGGTAGCAAATTTGACTTTTAAATAAGGTTTTAAGAGAGAAGGTACCATATTTGTAATTGTTGGTATTTGTGATTGGATTTGTAACTAGCTTCCTTTTAATCGTTTCGATTTTGATGTTTTTATGTAGAAAGAAGAGCTGTTATCAATCTTCTTTATTTATGCTTTTTGCTAATTGGTTTTGTTGTTCTTGTTTTTCTGGGAACTAGCTGTCGGTGATGGTGGCATAGGCGGCGGTGAGAGTTTTGAAAGGAAGTTAATGGAAGGAAGAGAGAAGACTGCAGCTAAAGTTAATGGTGTCATGATATTTAAGGGCATTTAAGTCATTTTACCTATTTTAATGGAAAAATAGACGGAAGAACTATTTAACAAGACAAAGATAAATCTCAAGAACATCTTAAATATTTGTATAAAAGTTGGTGACTACTTGATTAATTATGGTAAATATTAAGGATGAAATAAATATTTTTCCTGACTAAGTCATGGGTCCTAAAATGTAAGGATATATTCTTTGATTCATTTAGCTCTATAAAGAACAAAAAAAAAATCTGTCTATCAGTAAAAAATAATTTATTATTACTTTTCATTATATTTGTATATATATATTGATTTGGGATTGAGGGTAGAGGTTGGAGATTGAGTGATAACTTGATTTCCTTTTTGAGCACCTATTAGGGTTCTCAAAATCTGTATTTATAAATTAGGAACTGAAAAATTAAGAAGTATCATTATAAGTAGTTTGTATGCCAACTAATTATTTAATATTATATAGATAAAAAAATTAAAAGAGTGCGAATATGAGCATATAACGAGCATAATCAATATGCATCGCACGTCATAAAAAAATTAGTATATTAAATTGTATTATTTAATTACATACAATAAATTTTCCAATTTAAAATTAGATTAAACTTCCTAATAGAATTTAGATTCAAATAAGACATTAATATAATCAATCAAAATTAAACTACCTTTATTAAAGTCCTCGATGATATTTTTGTTAATCGATAAACTTAGCAAGAGCATTTTAGGAACCCAATTTCCTCAATTCGTATATACACACACACACTAATTTTTTATGATATGCGTTGCATATTGACAATAGGCGTTATTCATACTGGTTTAATTTGTTATGTCATTACTCGCTTTTACTTGTTATTTATATTCATTTTTTATTTTTTAATATTAAATATTGAATATAATTTTTGTTTAATATTATTTAGATTTTTATAATGCTAAAACAAAATTTCATATGAGATTAATGTGAATATAAAGAATATTGTTAAAAAATATTTTTTTTTTCCTTTTTTCTCTCTTTTCTAAATAAAATATTATAATTTTTGTCTTATATTATTTAGATTTTTATAATATTAAAATAAAAGTTAATATGAAATTGATGTGAACATAAAGAACATTATAAAAAAGAATTTTTTTATCTCTAGTAAAAAAAAATCAAATATTTTAAAAAATAAATTTAAAAATAAAATATAAAAATTTACAAATATCTTATTATTATAATATATTAAAAAATAAATTTTAAAAAAAAAGATAAAACTTAAAATTTTAAAAATTTTGAATACTTAATTATTATATATTTATTTAAAAAATATTTTTAAAAATTATTATACAATAAATTTAAATAAAAATAATTTTCTAATCGATAATGATTAACGTTATTTTAAAGATAATTCAAATTCATCAATACGGCTATTGAAAAAATCGCTATTATTCACTCAACTTTTTACATTTATAATATAGCATGGATTATAAGAATGAACTGTTCATAAAATTAAAATTTATAAAAAAAATCTGATAAAAATATGATAAAAAATTATATATATATATATATAAATTAAATTACATTTATTTGCAATATTTAAAATCAACAAGTACAAATAACGAGCAATGCATGTTTGAGAAAACTAGTATTAATGAAATGAAATTATAATTTTTTCTTTCAAAATTTATAAACCAAATAGTTTTTCTAAATAACTAAACTAAAATAAATTGTATAAAATTTAATGGTTTACACCGTAAAATGAATACTTTTACTGGTCGGTGTCCGATTGAAATGAAATAGACACTATAAAGTAAATTAGGCCCTTTAAGGATGAGAGTGGATTCATAAGGCCCAGTAGCATGAGTGGGAACATCATATGCATGTTCAATAGGTTCCTCGGGCCCAACACTAGTGGAACATTCAAATTCAAATTTAAATTCACGTTTCCACAACCTTCAACTTTTTTTACCGTTCAATAGGTTAAGGGTGGAAATTCGATCAATTGGTTGGATGGGTTTGAGGAAAATTTTTAATCGAAATTAATTAAATGAAAATTTTTTGACTTAACTGAATTAATCTTTTAATCAAATTTAATTAAACTATTTTAACTGAACTCACTCAAATTATTTTAACTGAATTAATTTTAATTATTAACTAAATTGAAGTTAAAGAAAATAAAAAATTAATTAACCAACTGAATTAATCGACTTTAGCCAAAATAAAAAATTAATTAAAGTTACTGATCACTATTTAATCAAAATAAAAATTTAAAAATATTTTTAATTTTATTATCTACTTAATCAAAGCAAAGTAGATTTGAGAGTCGATTAATTTAATTAATTCATTTAAATTAAATTTGAACCAAACTTTTAATCAATTACTAAAATTTTAATTTTTTTAATCAAATTTTTAATTAAATTAATCAAATTAACCGTACTGATCCTCACTTCCATAATAGGTTGCTCAAAAATTAAAGTGCTTCCGTGTATGTGAAACAAGCGTTGGTGACGAATGCACTTACGTCATGGTTTCGGCCATCTAGCTCCCAGCTATTTGCGCAAACCAATGGGCCGGTTACCATATTGAGCACCGATCACTCAACAACCCATTTGCTATAAATCTTTAAACAATAGACCCATTTTTGCATCAAATACATTTTCTTTAATTATAAATCTTTTAAACAAGCAGTTGAAGAATGGCCATAGATGATGAGGTGGTTCTGCTAGATTTCTGGCCAAGCCCTTTTGGCATGAGGGTTAGGATTGCTTTGGCAGAAAAGGGGATCAAACATGAATACAGAGAAGAGAACTTGAGGAACAAAAGTGCTCTGCTTCTACAAATGAACCCAGTTCATAAGAAAATCCCAGTTCTAATCCACAATGGCAAACCAGTTGTGGAGTCATGGCAAACCAGTTGTGGAGTCGCTTATTGCTGTTGAGTACATTGATGAAGTTTGGAAGGACAAAACTCCATTGCTTCCTTCCGATCCTTATCAGAGAGCACAAGCTAAATTCTGGGCTGATTTTGATTCTGGGCTGATTTTGTTGACAAGAAGGTGATTTTCATTGAATTTCTGTTGCATATATTATTCTATATGTGGCATTTGCGTTATATCTAAAAGTGTTAATTGGTAATGCAGATATATGACCTTGGCAGGAAGACATGGACGACAAAAGGAGAAGAGCAAGAGGCAGCTAAGAAGGAATTTATGGAGTCCCTCAAGATTTTGGAAGGAGAGCTTGGAGATAAGCCATACTTTGGAGGAGAATGTTTTGGCTATGTGGATGTGGCATTTATCCCATTCTATTATTGGTTTTATGCCAATGAAGTGTCTGGAAATTTCAGTGTAGAAGCTGAATGTCCTAAGCTTATTGCATGGGTTAAAAGATGCTTAGAGAAGGAGACTGTCTCCAATTCTCTTCCCGACCAGAAAAAGATCTATGGCTTCGTTTTAGAGCTGAAAAAGGCCTATGGAATAGATTAGAAAAGTTGGGGTCAGTCTTTTATGTTTTATCATTAGAATGTGATGTGCTTTTTCTTTGTAATAAAGAAGGTTATTCTTTTCTACGCATAATGTTTGGGAACAGAAGAGAGATTGCCTATATTCTCTTTTGTACAAAAACGAGAGAAAATCTTCAAATTCAAATTTCCACCGAATGATCCTACTCCAACAAAAGCATTTGAGAGTAATCTTTTCTTTTGTATTCAAAATTTTCACCGGTATATATATATAGAGGTAAAATCTCTACGGATTGCTTTGATAATTTATAATTTATAAATATATATTAAAAATTTATTTTTCTAGCCAATTACTTTAATATTAAATATTTTATAATATTTTATTTTTATAAATTTTATTTAAATTATTTAATATATTAATATATGAAAGATTTATTTTTCCGTGAGTTATTTTATTAAATTATTGTGATATAGAAATTTTAATAAATTCTCATGTTATAGAAATTATAATGCCATTAATTTATTTTAAGTAATTATAAAATTTCATAAATAATGTCTAGATTTTAAGTTAGAGTTTATAATTCAAACAACATTTAATAAGATAAAATTTTAAGATTCAAATCATTCAATATGGATAATATATAAGTTAATAAAATTTATTATTTAATTATTTAATAATAAAATATAATTTAATTATTTATATTATTAATTCTATGAAACATAGAAAAACAAAGAAAAATAAAAAATTCCTATACTAATATATATTATTCTATGAAACATAGAAAAACAAAGAAAAATAAAAAATTCCTATACTAATATATATTAATCTCAAATAAAAAAATAATTTAGTTCAAATTTGACATATATAATTTAAATGATTTTAAAAATAGAGTTAAGTAGAGAGATATAGATAATCAATAATTTAAAGTGTTTAAAGCCTACTTATCTTAAAGAAATCTAAAATTTGTAATAAAAAACTAAAGAGATATAGAAAATTTTGAAAAATGAAATAGAGATATAGAAAAAGGAAAGAAAAAATGAAAAATTTTCAAAAAATAAATATTATATACAGAGCTTTGCGTTACGTCTCTTTAATACATTAAAAAATAACCTATAAATTTAACCTAAAAATTTAATCAAATTACTATTTCTATTCTTTAATTAATATATATATAAAATAGTTTTTAATATTTAAGTAACTTCTTTTATTTAGTTTATTAATGTCACTTTATTTTTGCTATAAAAACATAAGGTCTAGTCAATAAAATAAATTTTTAATAATAAATTCAAATATAAATAGAAGTAGAACAAATGACAAGAAAATCCATTTCAATTAAAAAGTCTAGGTTTTTGGAATAATAATCTGAATATAAAACCCCAGCTTCAATCCAGCAATAATATCATTCAACTCTTCGTTATGGCATGAGCTATGACTACTCTTTGCTTCTGTTCCCTAGATAACTGTATTTCTCGCTCCCCTACCACAATTTCGTACACATGCATTTTGGATTGACATAGCAATACCAATCATGATTAAGAGAAAAAAAAAAAACCCTTAATGATTACTTTTCAAAGGAAACTTTGGGTTGGCTAGCAAAATGAAACTATCCGCTTCTTTTTTATTTACTACACTATCAACATTAATTAACAATAATAATAAAAAAAAAAAAGAAACACAAAAAGCACAGTAAGAAAGATGTGTTTAATCAACACTAACCAAGATAATGAAAATTACCAAGAGAGAAAAACTTTCAAAAGACAAGAAAGTGAAAAGAGACCTTTAACTTCCAACGAAAGAATTTCAATAGAAGATGAGATATTAGAGAATAGAGATCTTTTGTGTTAAATACTTAGATATTAAATACTTAGATAGCTTTTTTTCAAACTTCCATTCATATGTTATAAATACTTGATTTAGTTTTTGTATATATTATAAAAACATCATAAAATTTGAAAGATTAATAAATTGATACTCCCTTCATTCCAAAAAGATAATTTATTTTTTCTTTTTAGTTTGTCTCAAAATATAGCCACTTTCCTTTTTGGGGTTATAGTTGATCCTTAATTGTCTACTATACTCTTATTAAATTTTATATTATTTTCAATATCCCTTATTAAGTCTTTCTTATGATTCCAATATAATAATTGCTTGTGTGTTATTTAAGATGAACATAAAATGAAAGTTATATGAATAAAATTATCCTTTAACCATAATAACTACTGTTTCTTAATCTATGTGAAAATAGAGAGTGAACTATCTTGTTGGGACGGAGAGAGTAATATAATTTAATATTTTATTTTCAAGTATATAAAAAAAATAAATTATAGAAAGAAATTTAATTTATTAATTAATAATAACTTGATCTTATCTAAAGTTTACTACGGAGATTTCTTTCTTCTGGCACTTAATAATAAAAAGAAAAACTAAAATAACAGTGCAATTACAATTGAAAAATTAGGGTGACAGTAATATATATAATTATTAATATTATTTTACGTTTTTATTCATAAAACAAAAACAAAAAGATACAGATAGTCCCTCTATAAAAAATTACCTTTTCTTTTTTTTTTTTTTGTTTTTTTTTTTTTTCTTTTTTTTTTTTTTTGTTTTTTTTTTTTTTTTTTTTTTTTTGTTTTTTTTTCATTTCATTCTATAAACATTGGTTTTCTTTTCTTATACGAGATACAAAAGAGGAAATAGTAAAATATGAATATATCATGCTAGAAAGCTAAACCATAAAAATAAGTCAAAATAGAAAAAGTAAAAAAAAAAAATGTAAAAATAGCAATGAATTAATTAATATAACTTTGCTTAACCTTATAAATAGATTTATCTGACTGTGTTAAAGAAGTTGACATACTGTTGTAAGAATATTTAATGTGGGCTACTATTAATTGTGAGCTATTTTAATTTGGAAAACAAACTGAATGAATATAATTTAAAAATATTTATATGGAGCCCAATTTATATTTATGTGATCACTTGTATAATAGGCTTATGCACTTTTAGTGGGCCAGTATTGTTAGACATTAAAGTGTAGATTTAATTCGATAAGGACTTGTGATGGAAAGATCCATAGAAATTTCTATAAATAAGCTAGGTCTCTCTCCATCCTTAACCCTAATTTTAGCTGTCCCTTTAAAAACTGCCTATGCGAATAAGGAGACAGAGAAAAATCTAGTAATCACACAAATATTAATTTTATTTGTGAGTACGTAATTGTAGAAAATATGATGAATCAAATCAGAAAAAAAAGGGAAAACAAACTTGGAGTTGGAGTAAAATATATCCAACTAACCGGAAAAAAAGGGAAAACAAAAATTACTTAGACTTCTCAAATATCTATCTGAAGGTAGAGTATGCATGTTAACTAGCTAATAAACAGTGAAAAATGATAATGGTAGGGATGTTTTCTCCCTTAACTAGAAATTTCGAATTCGAGACTTGAATATAAAATCCTTTTAAACACTCGAACAGAGTGCTTTGCTTTTTTTGTGAACTTGTTTATTGTGAATCTAAATTAATCGGACAAGTGGATTTTAAAAACCAAATGGTTAAAAAAAAAGTGAAAAATAATAAACCAATGTCAAAGGTAAGAATTTCCTTGACAAGAAATACACTAAAATCGTGTGAGATTTTTAAAAAAATTGCAAATTTCAGGGTGTATCGAGTTAAAATTGTGTTAGATTTTTAAAAATAATTGTTGAATTTGATGGAAATAAAAGGGTGTGTTCACTTGTAGAAAACTGGAGTAATTTTCTAAAAAATTTTTCTAAGAAAATTGAAAATTTGAATTTTATATTCAATTCAGTCAATTTTCTATTTGGAAAACTAAAAAATAGTTTTCTAGTTTTCAAAATTTTAACTAAGATTTGGAATTTCCAGAGTTTTCTATTTGGAAACTAAAAAGCAGTTTTCTAGTTTTCAAATTTTAACTAAGATTTGGAATTTTCGGAGTTTTCCTTTTTAATAAAAGACATGTTTTCCACTTTTTAAAATGAGATTTTCATAATTAAAATTATAATATAATGAGATTTTCATAATTAAAATTATAATATTTATAATAATTTTTTCTATTAAAATATTTTTCATTTGAAAAAATAAAAATATTTTAAGTAAAATAAAAATTTTATATTATGTTTAATAAATAATTAATTTTATTATAACAATATATTATATCCTTTATTTTTAAAAAAATTTACAAAATGAGTAAAAAAATGTATTTATATATAATAATAAATTAGTTAAATATTTTAAAAAACTTTTACATACAAAATTTTCTAAATTTATTTTATTAATATTTAATTCAATTTATTTTATAATATTTTATTTCTTTTACTTATAAAAATTATAAATAATGTTTGTGAAGTTAAATTAAAATATTACTTTTTTTATTATTAAGGGAACAGATTTTCCATTTTCTAATTTTCATTTTCTAAAAAAAATGTTTTCTTAAAACACAGAAAATAGAAAAAAAAATTATTTTCTGTAAGTAAATGTATCAAGCATTTCTTAGGATTTCCACATATTCCACTAGAATTCAATGTAAAGTTTTATAGAATTAGTGAGACTTTTTTTTATAGATTTTAATTGACTTTGATGGAATCATAATGATTTTTATATATACAATCAAAATTAATCTCATAACATAATTGAATAAATTAAAAGATTTCTAATTGAAAAATTAAAAAACGACGAGGGACAAAAAGATGTGCCATATTCTCCAAAATCATTTTTTTCTTTGTTAAAACCTTATTGTCATGGACAGTAAAAGACTGCAATGGCCAGCATCGTGGTTGCCCATCCCGCCCTCCTAGAACAGTCGTGATGTGGTTGGAAGACCACGGGCTTCTCATCTCTTAACTGAACAGTGATCATTAAGGGTGAGCAAACAGTCGATTCAGTTCAAACCGAACCGAACCAATAAAAAAATATAAACTGAAGTTTTTTATCAACAGAACAAATCGAACCGAATCGAATTTCCCTTCTAAATCAAATCGTATCGAATCAAATCAGTCAAATCAGTCAATTTTGATCCGTTTTTCATTTCGATTCGATTTTAAGGATAACTCATAGATTTTTATGAAATCCACTTGAACAGAATAATAAATTCGGTTCAAACTGAATAAACCGTCAATTGAACTTTTCTTGATTTAGCTGATCGAATCGAACCTAAATGAGTCGGTTTAGTTTTCAGTTTGGTTTGGTCGGTAAGTTTGCACACCCCTAGCAACCGTCTCGCCGGAAAGCAATACAACAAAATGTTAATAGAAAAATGTTAATAGATACAACAAAATGTTAATAGACTCCAAAAAATATCTAGATTGAACACTATTTGAATTTAAGATATTTTAGAATCTAATAGAGTCTTAATAATACACCCTTGATTTAAACTAGTCCTTGTACGCTAAACAGGAGAAGATCCACCTTTTAGCTTGAGGGATCCAAGAAATTTAAAAGAAAACTTTCATTATAAAAAATTATATTTTCATTATATGTTCCTCACTAAAATAAAATAACTTAGCGGAATTCAATTATAACGCTGCATTTTAGCGAATGATATATTTATTATTAAAATGTGAAAGTGTAGAGTTATGATGAGTTTACTATGAAATTCAAGAGGCTACAAAGATAATCGCTAAAAATACATAATCAAATTTATGCATTGGACCATAATTTAATACTATTTACAAATGATTATTTTCACAATTTTTTAAAAATGATTTTACATTTACAGTTTTTTACAGTTATTGGAAATTTAAGAATTGATGTTTATTTATTTTTTATTTTTTATGTCAACCTTGATTTCTTTACCTTCTTTGTTACTATTAATTATAATCTTCTACGGGGAGACATTAATAATCTGAAGTAATTTCTAAATAAAAAAAAAAAAATAATAATGCAACTACAACAAACGGAGCCTCCATGACATTCATTTTTCTTTCTCCAAATAATATTGTTTTTTAAATATAAAAATCATACTTGTCTTTTTTAGTACAAATCGGTGAGTTGCTTTAACTACGTTTACCAAATAATACTAATTTATAGTGATATATATAGCAATAGATTTTTTTTTTTTTTTTTTTTTGCAGGAGCAATTTGGTTTCTTTTTTTATCTTAGGTTTATGGACGTATTATAGATGTCGGGCCCGTGGGATTTGGTGGCAGGGGATATTCTGCTTGGGGCATTTCTGTTTATTCCGCTGGCGAGAGGCTCGGCTTCTCCTTGCACTTTAATATTCCCATCGCAGCGGTGCCATTAGATACCACATATTGGCTTGGGCCAATCTCCGTATGCTTCTTTCTCTTTACTTTCCATGGTCTCTTTTACGTAATTGGATGGTTCATGTCTGGAGAAATTCCTTCTGAAGTGAGTATTTTTATATTATATTGGCTTATTGTTTAAATTTATTCAGCATATTCAGCATTGTAAACTAGCTAACCGAGTTAAGTTTTATTGAACTCAAATTTGGCTCATTAAAAATATTATAAAGATTTTTAAAAAACTAGGCACTAAGTTTAATTCATTGTATATGAGCTAAGTTCTGAAATTACCACATTTACAGTTTATGGTTAAAAAAAAAAAGATATATATATATTGTGACTTGTTTATTTTCTTAAATTCGAACTCGAACTATGGTTCACAAGTTTCATTTCATAATTCGGCTCGGTTTATTAATTAAACGACTTTGGTAAGCAGGCTTGAACTCAATTCTTAAAACTTATTGAATGAGCCGAGTTTCGAGTAGCTCATCACGAGTGACTTGACACGTTTATATTAGTAAATTTATATTCTGAACCTAGTTGTGTATATGCATATGCAGCTAATAGCATGGGATGCTACAGATGGAGCAAATTAGCTTTCTTTTATAACCAAACCTACAACCCTCATAACTCAATCTCACCGATGTGGGATTGAGCAAATACATTTTTTAATATTTTTTTCCTTTTATTTTCAACAAAAGTGGCTAACATCGAGCTCTTTTACTACGCTCACCATCTCTATATTATATTCATTATATTCTTGGCAATGCATGTCGGCAACTTTTTTATGTGCATACCAGCCGGAGCCATATTTCTTTTCATGGTTGATCGTTTTCTCAGATTTTGCAATTCTCAGAAAACTGTTGACGTCGTTTCAACGAAATGCTTCCCTTGCGGAGTGGTAGAGTTGGTTCTGTCAGCTCCTACTACTACAGGTCTAATTAACTATAATGCTCAGCTCTCTTTTGGCTTGGCAATTTCCCGCAATTATCTTTGCTCCAATCGCATCCTTCTTGGCATTCCCCAATTATCTTTGCTCCAATCGCATCCTTTCAGTGTGTCGTCTAGTCCTCTGGATGGTAAAAATCGCATATCTCTTCTCATCAAAGCTGCTGGAGACTGGACAAATGGACTTAACGACAATGTTGAGACTAATAATAAGATTAGAGCTTCTGTTGAAGGGCCTTATGGTAATCGGTTACCATACCACTTGATGTATGTACTCGTTTTTACTTAATTTGCCTTTAAATTCACACCTAATATACAATTTATTTGAAATTGATCAATTTTAATAAGAATTTTGAACTAAGAGACTAAATAAATACATTTTTTAACTGAAATGAGGAAGTTGGTTAAGTCACTGAGCAAAAATGAAAACGCGTTTGAATTGAGAGAAAACCATGTCTTTCACACACGTTAGGGTCAAAAAATGGATCAAATTCATCTTTGGGTTGAAAATTCTTATTAAATTGATTAAGAACTCCATTTTGGAGTACATTGAAATGATGAATGTTGATGGGTAAATTGAGCATTATTTGAACAAATAATATGGGCTAACTAAAGTTTTTGTATTTTCATAGGTATGAAATTCTTGTTTTAGTAGCAGGTGGAATTGGGATATCGCCATTCATTGCCGTTCTGAGTGATGTTATTCATCGTATTAATCAAGGAAAGACATGTCTTCCGAGAAACATAACTCTTGTTTGGGCAGTGAAAAAGTCAGATGAGCTTTCTCTTCTTTCCACAATTAACACGAACTCACTTGTTCCTTTACCTTTTGATGTGCTTCATCTCGAGATACTTATTCGAGATAACTTATTTATGGTCAGCTCGAGAACAAGAATCTCCGTTTGGTAGTTGCATATTTAGTTATTCTTGCTGCTAATTTTTATTCTTGCTGCTAATTTTCTTCTACAAGAAAATAATTTCTTTCAAATTCAGTAGTTAGCTCGATCGATAACAAATTATTGTAACTTTCAGGAAATCGGAGCATTGTAAGAGACTGAGAGATCTGCTTCTTCTATCTCTTCTTTCTCCAGTGAAAATGCCATATCTGCTCTAGTTAGTGCCATATCTGCTCTAGTTAGCACAGGGAATAAAACATGGTTTGGAGCTTATATGATATCATCAACAGTTGGCTTGGTCCTGTTAATTACTTTACTAAATGTCTTTTATATAACCCCATTTAATATAACTAATTGGTGGCATCAAGGATTGCTTCTTCTAGCGTGCATGGTTGGCGGTGTTGTAATCTTTGGTGGTGCTGTGGTTGCTTTATGGCATATCTGGGAGAAGAGAAACTTAGCAAAGATCAATGGTGGACAGGGAAATGAACACACAGTAAACGAGGATTCATTTTTGGAAAATCTTGCTGGCTCAACTACTGTTCAGTACGGTTCAAGACCAGACTTTAAAGGTACATTTAAATTCATATGATCTTAAATCATAGTGAACTAAATAAAATAATGAAATGTCAATAATGACTTCTCTGCCTGCAGAAATTTTTGGATCCGTATCTAAGCTCTGGGGCGATGTTGATGTGGGAGTGATAGTATGTGGTCCTCCAAATCTGGAGTCAAGTGTTGCTGCAGAATGCAGATCAATTAACATGTGCAGAAAATCCGAAGACTGCGGGGGTGTAATAGAATATGTAATATTCTGTTGGTATAATTAGTTTGATCTGATTTATATAGATTAGTTTCCTAATTGTATATAGTTAGGGTATTGAGCTGTATGACTATATATAGGAAAGTCATTGTACAATATGAGATACGGAATACATCTTCTTTCATTCACAATACTTGTAAATATATTCTCTAACGAGCTACTTAAAGATTTATATTCAATAAAATAATTACTTTATTGAAGTGAATATATTAGCATTTCTATTAATAGGACAATATTTACAAGTCAAATCCATAAATTGACCCTTGCATTTTATCAAAAATAAAAGTGTTGCACTTCAAACTTTCGAGGGACCTATTATGCTCCTTAAATTACGAATTTGATAACATTGTATCATTCTCTATACTAGTAATAACTGTTTTTTTCGTGTTTTGACATTTATATGCAAAATATATACTTGAGGCGGTATAAGTATAATTTTTGAAACAATAATTTTTCACATTTTTCAATTATTTAATAAGTATTTTGTAAGTTGAAGCACTTAATAGATATAATTTAATAAATTAAAGTGTTCAATAAATCAATATAAAAGTTAAGGATGCCACAAAATTTTGTACATAAAAATATATAGGTGAATTTATCCATTTGCCAACAATTACACTATATATAAAATAAATGGCTTTAGGGTAATGCCCTATCCTTCAACCTATCGAGGGACCACTTGAATGATTTTATACAATGAGACCAACTAGTTGTGAGGTGGCTGATATTTATCCTTGCCCACATTAATTTTGTATTACTTTGTAAATATAAGCCATATTTTAAAAGAAAAAATTGCATCTTTATATTACATCAATGCGTGATCATTCCTCAGGATGGATATATATACGGTAATAAAGGGAAAAATAATGAAATTACAGATATTGCCATTAATGAAATTTTGAATATTATAAAATAGCTTAGTCATACTCAATTAGAAAATTATATTTTATTAGTTGATTGGATATAATTTATAAGGAGTTTCAATGTATGAGCGATGATGCTGAAATATAGAAGAGTTTTGGCTATCAAGATTTTAATTTGGGACTATTGTAACGTAAGGGAAGCTATTATAGTTTTTCTGTAGAATTTTTCGGAAAAATTTTTAAGTTTATATATTATTTTTTATTTAATTCTATTTTAAATATTTTATTTAAGATAGAAATAAAAAAATAAAAAAATCTTTATATTTGTATAATTTGGTTAGATATATTTTTAAAGAAATGAATAAAGAAAAGATAGGACGGTGGCCATACAAGTTAAGGTATATTATATGTTTCATGAACTGAATTAGAAAAAAGAATGTATTAGAAAAAATAATTATTTTGGATCTTTGTGAGAGACCCGTAAGAGGCAATACATATATTTGAAACAAAGTCAAACTCAAAATAAATAAATAAATGGAATAAACTACATTTTCAGTTTGAAACTTTATAAAAAAATACATATATATACTATTGTAACGGAATAAATATTATATTGCTTAGATTTTTTCTTTTTAGAAATCTAGTTTTTAAATTTTTTAAAAAATATTAGTATATATAAATGTGGAAAAATGGGAATAATGAAATTTTCTATACTAACCTTAGTTTAATTTAAAATTTCTAAATATATCATTTTAGTTAGATTTTTAATGCATTCTAATTGGAGAAAAATAAGTCCATTTATTTTTTTGAAAATCGTGTTATTTATATTTTTTTATGCCTTTTAGGTCGAGAAATATATTCCATTTATCATTTTGAATATCCTTTTAATTATATTTTTTATGCATTTTAATTCGAAAAATATATATAATTATTCTCTATTTGATCTTGCAGCATTATTGTCCAATGATTTTTATATTTCATTCGTCTCAAAATGATTTTTAGTTAAGTCTTACTAACATTTGCGGGGACAGTCTGTGTGCATATATATATATATATATATATATATTTGTAAATTATTATATATATTTATATATATATATATATATTTGTAATCTCAGTTGTAGGAAATCTATTTCCATCACCACAATGTCATTGAACAAGTAGTAAATAAGTAAAATGAATAAAAAAAAACTGTATTTTTGTATTTTATCAATGTGTTTGTTCATTTCTCTAGATGCTTTTATTAGTTGTGTGTAAAAACATAATTTAAGATTCAAATCTCTAAATATGACTCTTAAGTGCAAAAATTTTGTCTACTTTAAGTAATTGCATAAAATTTGGTTGCCTTAAATCATGACTTCACAAATTGATTTCATCAATGAGGTGAAACAAAAAAAGATACAGTGAAATCTGAAAATGTGTTTGTGGCAGGTTCCAGAATGCGATAACCCAAGCAGTCATTCTCTCTTGAGATAGTGCTACAGACGAAATGGTTTTTAACTAAATCTCTTTTAATATTTTACATGTTATCTTTTGATATTTTACAAGAGTATTTAATATTATATTTGAATTGAATGGAATTTGAATACTATAATTCAATGATATTTATGCAGTTAAAAAAAGTAATTTATGTGTAGGACCATTTAATTACCGAAGGGTTAATCATTATGTGGGAAATTATTCTATATATTTTTATTTCATGAGTTGTACGATTGATTTTAAAGCTTTTTTTCAACCGAGTTTGGTTCATTGTGATTCATGCCATATTTTAAAGCTTTTTTTCAACACAATGTAGATGATTTTGCTATAACAATTTATTATAGTTATAAACCTGTCATATACCATACTGCCCAACACAGTTATCAACTATGTTAACAAAAATGTTAGTTGTCAACCCAGTCTTTCCATTGATATCTTTTTTAATAGCAATGTATTAACTCTGTGATATGTGTTTGTATATTTTTATAACATTTTGGATATTAAGTATTATTGTTTGATGCAGGTCATACCATATATGGT